ACTCACCTCATAGTTCTAGCCGACCTGTGACAATGAGACTGTCACAGGTTGGCTCAGTAGATCGGGAGGTGAGCGAACACATATCGGCGTTCGCTCACCTCTCGATCCTGTCACGGCTCTCTGCCGAGACGGGGGAGGGGGCTGGATCCCCCGCCCGCCAGCACTGACTGGCGGAACAGACGGGGGAGGGTACAGCTGGCTGTGCCTCTAGATAGGCAGAGCCAGCTGTCAGTCACGCAGCTGGGCGGATCCCGGCACAATTGTGTCACGCAGCAGCTCGCGGTATACTGAGCCTAGGGTGACGGGAGGACGCTAGTTTGTGTCCTCCCGTTACCCTAAGGAGAACTATGGGGAAAAGCCTTAACCCCATAGGTCTCCTTTAAAGGCATCAGTTCAAATGAAGCTGTACACATAGTCAGGCGGGATGAAGATCACAGAGATTTTACTTCTATTTAAAAAGGAAGTGCATTTAACCTTTGCCCTCCTGACCTAACCTCCCGTTAGTGTACCATGGGCAAAGTTGAAACCGTCAGGTGTTTAATGCCATCTGTGCTTTCCTGTCCTGGAGACCTCCAGTCCATCTCTTTTCCCAATGTTTCAGGGGCCAAATCTCCAAAGTAGGGTCACACATGGCAACCACACCACACCAAAAATCTCGACCCACCCCCCAATCTATGCAATCGTGGAGGAAAAAAAAGGGCTTTGGCTGTGCTTCACATTCGTCCAATGGCCATCCCTCAAAGCCAGCCAAGCCAACTGTCCAACGACCCCACAGCTCAGCAGGGCGAGGACCTATGTAAACAATTCTCACTTCACGTGTGGTCAGGTCAGCCCTGGCACCACACAGCTATGTCTATAGGGAGATAGAACACCGGCACATGAAGACCACGTACCATGAAATTCTCCCAACTCGTCGAGACCGCCAACTCCCGTCAGTGCAGCCACCCAAGAGAAGTATCAAGCTGTACAATCGGGTGCCTGCATGGGCACCTGATGCCACAAGCACCGGCGGGAGTCTGAGAACCCGATGACCATTCCAAAGCCGCACCTACGGAAGTGGAGAAGTCAACGAGGATTGCAAAAACCGATGGCTGGCGCACGCTCACCAGCGCCCTCTCGTCAAAATCTGCAACGGATACGACGTCTTGAGTTGGCGATCTCGACGAGTTGAAGATCTTAACAGAACATCGGCTTCTTGTACCTTACTATACCCAAATACAGAAGATTTTGAAGCAACATGCATATCTAGAAGGTACGGAGATCAACCATGGCCACCCCCGTTCCCCATAGGTGGTCAACAGAGTCAATTCATACTTAAAGATATACAATATATTGTCTCCTGAGAGCATTTCATGTATCACCTTAAATAACAATAAAACAAACAAAAAAAAAAAAAAGACAGTCACATGACCTTTCAGGGCAGAGCAACACTCAACAACCCCACCCCCGGCAAGAACCCATCCCGAGTAATACCTGGCGATTGGATGCTCAGGCCCAAACAGGACAGAGGTCATAGGTACAAGGAACCCCACCCCCGGCAAGAACCCATCCCGAGTAATACCTGGAGATTGGATGCTCAGGCCCATACAGGACGGAGGTCATAGGTACAAGGAACCCAATGGAGAAAGGTTCTGACAGAGGCAAGGGTGGATGAGTATACCCTACTGGGCAAGGGTAGAGGGGCACTATACAAAAGCATCGTCGGCATGGGTCAGCTGGCCGTCTGAGCACAAACAAAAAAATGGGAACCCTTTCATTTATTGTATCTACCGTAGATACGGACAATTAAAACAAAAATCAAACCACAACAAACACTTGAAAAGGCATCCCCGACGCTTGGACTCGCCCTACCAGAGAATTAAAACGCGTTACAAAAATAAAATCATGGATGGCCTCAACACGTTCCCTGAAGAAACCGAAGGCTGGGAGAGCCCCTCGGCGAAAATAAATACCCCCCATTGCTCGGATTTAAAAGGAATGGGTGATCGATGAAAAGGATAAAAAAGGGGGCCGTCGCACCTCTCTGAAGCCAACAGGGAAAACACGTTATTACAGAAACAATTTTTTTTTTAGGACGTGAAGGGGCGAGGTGCTATAAAGGGACGTGGCTGAAGAGATAAGATACAGATTCTCCGTTGTGTGTCCGTCGAATGGCTTCGGCCAGGATCATAGAGATGTCGATGACCTGGGGAGGGGAAAAAAAAAAACAAAGTTTCAGCTTAGGTCTCAAAATGAACTCGATTTGCATCAATAATTGAATTGTGTGACTGCAGTACAGTGCTCCCCGTACCTTACCCCTCAAAGATGTGTATCTGAAGGGCGAGATCATTAAATGAACGTCACCAGATTTGGTGTGCCAATCTCTGTTCTCCTTGCTGGAGGGGAAGCTGTACAAGGATATCCCCGCTACATTCATTCTATAGATCTGTGCTTCTGATGTCACTCTCTACTGTACTGTTCTCATTGCTGGAGTGGAAGCTGCACCTGAGGACCTGCAGTGCAAGGATATCCCTGCTTCTGCTACATCCATTCTATGGGCCTGTGCTTCCTCCACCTCTATCATTACCGCACCAGTCATCTGGGGGGCAGCTCTGACATGAGGAAGCAAAGCCCTGCCTCTACCACAATGGCTGCCTACATATAGAGACAGTAAACAAGGCATGGTAAGTAATTAATGGGGGAAAAAAAAAGATATCAGCTGCAGGGGGACCACAGGCAAAACCGGTGACTGGTCCCTAGCTTGAGGACAGCTTAAAGGAGAACTATGAGGTGGGGTGCTTTTCACTCACCTCATAGTTCTAGCCGACCTGTGACAATGAGACTGTCACAGGTCGGCTCAGTAGATCGGGAGGTGAGCGAACACATACCGGCGTTCACTCACCTCTCGATCCTGTCACGGCTCTCTGCCGTGACAGGGAGGGGCTGGATTCCCCCCTCCGATCTGCCAGCGCTGACTGGCGGAACGGACGGGGGAGGGTACAGCTGGTTCTGCCTCTAGATAGGCAGAGCCAGCTGTCAGTCACGCAGCTGGGCGGATCCCGGCACAATTGTCGGGATCCGCTTCAGCTGTGGCGTCTCAATATACCGCAAGCTGTAACTCCCTATATATTGAGCTTAGGGTGACAGGAGGATGCTAGTTTGTGTCCTCCCGTTACCCTAAAAGGAGAACTATGGGGGAAAAGCCTTAACCCCATAGTTATCCTTTAAAGCTCTACAACACAGGGGTGAGGAATTCCTATCGCTAGAGACGTGCAGTTCCGAACACACTTTTTTTTCTCTCGACATTTACACTTTGGGTAAGCAGGGCTAAATGGACAGCGGGAAGCCGTCGCTCGTTTTGTGCATACAGCCGCCCAGATCACCTGTAAGCATCCTGCTGGTCCGTGTCCCCTCCCCTCCATGGTACGTCTCTCCCTGAAGTGGTTATCGGGGTCCCCCTACTTTTCCACAGGGCGGATAATGTTGGTTCTCTGCTCAGTGTGAACACCAAGACAGCCCTCCCATCTCGGCTGTCACAGGTCGCCCCCCTCCCCCCGCGCTTCAGTCCTTGGACAAGTAGATTTATTAAAGTTTCCACACCCCTGAACAACAAAGAGCTAGGTAGTTCATGGACATTGCTGCAGCAAGCCCAGCACCAGCTTCAGGACATGTATGGTAGCCATCTGGTCCAATATACACTGTCACCAACCAACACCGTTGCTTGGTTTGGCTCTACACTGCGGCCACCATCACCAGCCACAGATTGGTCATATGGTCCAAATTCATGACATTTTCACAGCTGCCCCAAGGCAACCCTCCCTGCACTGAGCCCGAGAATAGCAGACTCTCCATAATGATATACGAGGCGTCAGAAAAGGCCAAAATAAGCTGCAGCCAGCTGGGTTCGCACGGATATTTTTAAATGGAGAGAGCGGTCTTCTAAGCCGAGTGTGAACCTGGCTACTAAATTTAAATCCCCCTCCCCCCTTCAGAATAGCAACAACAGCTGTCGCCTGAAACAAATGGAAGTCTCATTGGATATTGGACAGAGATCCTTCATGGAGGAGCGCACGTTAAAACAAAGTGTGCTTATCCTTATGGCCCCTTTAAGGCTACTTAGTCTATTCCAGCCTCTCCCTGCACAGGTTACTGCTCCGAGTTCCCGGGGGCCCGGCCTCCCTTGTGTGGTTGCATGGTTCGGCGAAAGTCTCCCTCTCCTGGGCGCGCCTGCTCAGTGCATCCCCATTGACTTCTATGGGGCTCGTCTCCCCGGCCGGAGTCAGAGGTAAATGAGGGTTATAGAAGTGAATGGGGATAATCTACCCACAATGTAAATATGGAGGCTGGGCTCGTCGGAACTCATCTTTGAAGGGGGTGAAATGATCAGAACTCATTTTGGAGGCTTGGGAAGGGGAGGGTGGGTGTCATCGGAACTCTTTTTTGAGGGGGGTGGGAGAGGGTCACAGGAACTCATCTTTGAAGAAAGGGAGGGGGGGGCAGGGGTTCTGGAAGAGGTGGGTTGTCAGAACGAATCATCTTTGAAGGTGGGTCATCGGAACTCATCTTGGAAAGGGGGAGGTCCACTTTATTTTAAACAAACTACGTTCTTTTAAGATACTTTGTCTTGGGGGAGGGGGGGGGGCTGCGGTGTCAGTCAACAGACCCATTTGGCAAATACGTGCAGTTCTGACATACAGCAAAGAGGAGGCAATAGACTCGCCTTGCTATTACACAGCAGGGTTACATACAATGACCCTGCACCATATGTAAAAGAAGAGCGAGAGCCAAACCATCATACACTAGGGCAGGGGTAGCCAAAACGTCGCCCCCCCCCATGTTCCGTGGTAGAGCTGCCGAAGTAGAGCCACCAAGCCTAATCACCGCTTCCTATCTGATGGATGAAAGATTGGAGGGCGCCAACCTCTACTGGGACTCCTGTACCCGACAGCCCACTGGGGAGGGCGTTGGGTTTTGGGTCTCCATACACCCAGATACGTCCCGTGCCCTGTTCCTGCACACTGTACCTAGACCCATCACAAGGACAGTCATACTTCTTGTTGTACGTACCTGGATTTTGGAGCAATGTTTGATCTTCTCCTCCTGAGGGATCGTATTCGTCACCACCACAGCCTCAAAGCATGCGTTGTTAATCCGAGAAATGGCCGGGCCAGAAAATATTCCGTGGGTCAGGATGGCGTAAACTTTCGTGGCTCCAGCAGAGAGAAGTCTACAAATGAGGACAATAAAAGTAAACAATTGTGAAAAGCTGAACTGCCGGCGCATAGAAAAGACAAAACGAACGCAGATCTGTATTTATTTATGTCTGAATTCCGCTTTAACCCCTTCATGACCAATGACGTCCATAGTACATCACTGGCAACGGGCCCTCCTGGCGGCGACTCGGTTTACATTTGTAAAGCCGGCTGTCGGCTTTAAATCATTTTCAAACCCCCTCTAATTTACTACAGTAATATTAATATAATTATTGCTAATATGACAGTAATTAACATTGCAATAATGAAATGACAGTAACCGATTTAAAAATTAAAAAGGAGAACTATGAGGCGAGTGAAAAATCACTCACCTCATAGTTCTAGCCGACCTGTGACAATGAGACTGTCACAGGTCGGCTCAGTAGATCGGGAGGTGAGCGAACACATGCCGGCGTTCGCTCACCTCTCGATCCTGTCACGGCAGAGGGAGGGGTTGGATTCCCCCCTTCCCCAGCCCTGAATGGCGGAACGGACGGGGGAGGGGGCGGGTACAGCTGGTTCTGCCTCTAGATAGGCAGAGCCAGCTGTCATTCATGCAGCTGGGCGGAACTAGACAATTGTCCGGATCCGCTTCAGCTGCGGCGCCTCAGTATACGGCGAGCTGTAGCTCCCTATATACTGAGCCTAGGGTGACGGGAGGACGCTAGTTGGTGTCCTCACGTAACCCTAAGGAGAACTATGGGGAAAAGCCCGGACCCCATAGTTCTCCTTTAATGAAATACAAATATTACAACTACAGCCATAACAATCACAATCTGTAGCCACGCACTTATCTGCAGCATGACAGACGGTTCCACAGGTGTCGGCCATGTCATCCACAAGAATGGCCACTTTATCCTTCACGTCCCCCACCAGGACCATGCGGTCCACTTCGTTGGCTTTTTTCCTCTCTTTGTGGATTAAAGCAAAATCTACGTTCAGACGATCGGCAATCGACGTGACTCTGGAATACAAAGACAAAACCAGGGTTAGCCATTCAGCAATACAATTGGGACAATAGGTGTCGGGGGGGGCGGCAACTTATCCGTTTCAGGAAAGAGATGCTAAATGGACCCTGCATCTGCAAAAGGAAAAAAAGGTCACTCCCCCAGCAGCATGTACCTACCCTTCCTTGTTCCCTTGGCACTGTGTGACAACACAGGAGCACAAACTAGGAGACAGGAACAGTGTTGTCATCCTATAACAGAAGTGCCTGAACGAGGACCTTCATAGCCGGATCCCCAGGTAGTATATTAATAAAAGCTGTACACTGCTGCTCTCTCTCCTTGTGCAGGGTGACTGGTCTCGTCTCCGCCCCTTCCTGTAATAAAGACCGCTCACTGCTGCTTTCTCTCCTTGTGCAGGGTGACTGGTCTTGTCGCCGCCCCTTCCTGTAATAAAGACCGCTCACTGCTCCTCTCTATTCTTTTGCAGTGTGACTGGTCTTGTCTCCGCCCCGCCTGTAGTTTTCTGTGGGCAGCCTGTAGTGGGTGGGGCCTGCTGGACCCCTGCCACAGCTCTGCTCAGTGATAATGTCACTGCTACTTTTACAATGTATTATCTGGATCTGCAAAGGCATTTGGTGCAAACAAAGTGGATTTATATCCTTTGTTACTATTGAGGGACATATTTAAATTAAAGTTTTTCTGCCCGGAGTTCAGCTTTCATTTCTCTCTCCTTAAGTCTCGTTCATATGTAGTGACCTGCACGGTTTAAGACTTGTATTCCCCATAGGGAGCTCTTGTTGCAGGATGGCAACCCAGCCCAATTGGAAGAAAGGGAAAGACAGCGTGGTCACCTAATAACAGGAAGTACCACTGTGTTGTGCTCCTAACTTCCTGGTTGAAGTGACAACAGGTTTCTGACATGCGCAGTTCTAGACGCGGTCCTTTGAAAGTCTTTTACCTTTTGGCACCTCCGGCATCCGGCGACACTATGGTGCACGTTTTCCATTCAGCAATGTTTTCTCTAATCCACTTCAATACAGCTGGTTCGGCGTACAAGTTATCCACAGGAATGTCAAAGAACCCCTGAAAGACGATAATGACATCAAAGTTATCTGGTCACAGGGGCTAGGCTTAGCCACAGAGCCCAGGGGTATACAGAAGGCGAAGGCTGGAGGGGAAGGCCGGCGGGGGGTGGGGGGGTCAGACAGAAGGCTGAAGGGAAGGACGGAGGTCATAATGCAATTACCTGGATCTGCGACGCGTGGAGGTCCATCGTAATGATGTGATCAGCACCAGCCACAGACAACATGTTGGCAACAAGTTTGGCAGAGATCGGCGCCCGGGACTAAGAGAAAAAGAAGGCGGTCTTATAAGGAACGAAGGAAGATGGCGGATGACGGGGACACATTGACAAACACTTTGGCCACGACTAGACTTACTTTATCCTTTTTGTCCTGGCGAGCGTACGGGAAGCAGGGTATGACGGCTGTGACGCGGCACGCGGACGCGATCTTACACGCGTTAATCATGATCAGAAGTTCCATTAAGTTGTCGTTAATTTCTCCGCAACCGCTCTGGACGATGTACACATCTTCTCCGCGCACGCTCTCTCCAATCTCAACGCTGCAAACCAAAGAGAACGATTACTACACGGGGCATACAAACAATGTCACTATCTCTCTATCTCCCTCCGACCAATGTTACTTTGTATCTCTCTATCTCCCTCTGATCAATGTTTATAAACAATGTTAGTTTGTATCTCTCTCCAAAGTTCCAAAGGATAGCGACAGCAGGATAGAAGGACGGGACGTACAACACACACACCTTCAGAACAGAAACATTTCAACTACCCAACACCGGTCCACTTAACATTAGGAGGCGGAGTCTTGCTCATATGACTGCTGTGATTGGCAGACACATGGTCGGGAGCCCATGCCACCCACTCCTGAGTGGGTACAGTGATCACATGGTCAATGTGCTGGGGCTACGCTCTCAGAAGAGAACAGTGGACCTCATGAGCACACATATGCATCAGCTGGGCGTCATGTCCCTTGGCATACAGGCGTCACGCAAGCGGGTAAAAGGTTAAAAGGGACACAAGAGGCTCAAAATCACAAAGCTAACACAGCAGGAGGATTCTTTGGACTGACACATCTTCCCCCATCCCTTACTGGGGGAGGAAACTGGGACATCACCACTGCTGCCTAGTAAATGACTCTTTCGGGAAGCGTTTAATAAGCCCGCTGTGCACGACCCCTTATTGTCCCATCAATAGATCCTTCCACAGATTTGCATTGCCGGCGCTCCATTGAAGGAGAGCGCGTCATTGACCGGCTCCCTCCTGCAGCATTGCGATCATAACCAGGAACTTGGCCGACTTCCCTGCAGCAGCAACAATCTCAAATTTAAAAAAATGCAACATTTCCGCAGGCGGAACGCGTCAAACGATGCATCTGATTTATTGAATTGCAGGAGAGGCAACCAATCAGAGTGCTCAGATTGGTCGCAGCCACTGTGTATATCAAACTGTTCTTCTCAACACCAATCTTCCCATAAGATTGTATGAGCGCTTAACACATTTTATCCAAGGTATTAACCCCAAAAAGCCGCACATGTGTATAAAGAGATGGCTTGGGGGGGGGGCACCAACTTGGATGTGATGCCAGCATCCCCTCCTGTTATTCAAGTGATAAGCCTCTGGGAGTCATATACCTGTGGCCATCAGAGTCTTGCAATGCTTCATGGGACTTGAAGTTGCACCACAGCTAAGGGCCGGGACTTGCCTACCTCTGCTCCTCTCCCCCAGCAGTTACATAAAAGGTCATGTGGGGAGGGGCAGAGCAGCTGGTCCAGCACAGACACAAATCAGATGCCGCTAGAAGAGAAGGCTATGACCTGATGGTAAAAACAGCAGACCTTGCCTGCATAGTGATAACTCATAGCATCCAATGCAAGGTCATGTGACAACACGGGGTTCAATTTATAGACACGTGCAGAGAGTTGTCACCTTATAACAGGAAGTGCCCTCTGGGGTTGCTTTATGAAAGGATGCAGATTCTGACAATAGGTGAATGGTTACGAGGTAACAATGATTCAATGATTAAATAAAAAAATCCATAACAGCCCCTTTGCCCACCGCCGGACATGAGCCTCATCCCCACATGTGCGGCTCCGTCCCCCATCTGCGCTGCAGCTCGCGGTGCACACTGGGATTTGTAGTCACGTGGCCGCTCCCCTCCAGCGCCTCGCCACCCTAAGGCACTACAACTCCCGGCGTCCCCTGCGGGCCCGCTCTCAAGTTCTATGCCAGCTATTTTCATCTCCCGGCGTTCTCACGTGACACCAATCCGACCGGGCTGCTCGCCGCGACACCGGCCAGCGCATTCCTACCCAGCCCCCCCTTCTCCTCCGCCGGTCCCCCTCACCAAGTTTCCTGGTTGCTGAACTTCTTGGTGACCACGCGGCCCAGCTCCAGGCCCAGGCGGTCGGCGATCTTCTGGGACAGGTCCTGGTGGGAGCTCCCGCTGAAGATCTTGATGTTTGGCATGCTGCTCGGGTGTGCGGAGGCGAGAGCCGTGCCGGTTGGCCTCGCCGATGGCTTGGTTAACGGGGACGGAACTCCAGGCCCCACCTTCTGTGAGCGTACGTCCAATGGGAGAAGAGGTTGGGGGCAGGCCACGCCTCTCTGCTCTGACATGCGTAGCTCGAGCCCGGCTGAGGGGGGTGGTTTTTGCGCTGACGTAGACTGGCCGGCAGGTGGCGCTGTGGATCCGTCTCTACAATGGGACAGCTAGTGAGGCTTGTGCTGGGGGATTGAATCTGTAGAAAGAGCTGATAGGTGGGCTGCAGGTCATGTGACCTTTGTTTAGCTATACAACAACTATTAGTGGGGGGATCCAGTACTGGAGCAGTTGCCCATGGCAACCTATCAGCTTCTCTGTTTCATTTTCAAAGCCTAACTCAACAGACTAAAGAGAAGAAGTTGATTGGTTGCCATGGGCAACCGCTCCGGATTCCATCTGCTCCAGTTTTTATTAATTCCCCTCACTGTATAGCTAAAATTTTGTTAAACCCCTGGCAGTTTATTTCTAGCCGTCTGTCTTCGATTGAGGAGACTTCCCTTCACTTCCTGCCCGTAGCCAAAACAGGAAATGAGATGAATTTGCTTCTTAGTTGTCACCGGAACAGGTGTCCCCATTGGAAGATTTTCTCTCTGTTCCTGTGCAGGTGATGAGTGTAAAAGGTTTGCCGCTATATAAACATTAAAGCAGAAGTCCAGCCACAGAGAACGCTATAAAATTGAATATGCCCTTAAAGGATAAAGTACACTTATCTGTTTGCCCCCAGGTCCCTCCTCTCCTCCTCTGCAGATGTGTACTTATCTAGATCCAGCACCTGAGGCCTCTCGTGTTTGTTTACATCCAGGGCTGACCTCCTGGGTCTCCTGGCCGCAATGGAGCAGTAAAGCCCCATAAAGTCTGTGGGACTCATCGCCCAGGTGGAAGATGGAGGTAGAGGAGCCGCATAGAAGTCTATGGAGTTCATCTCCTGGCCAGACGATGGAGGCAGAGGAGCCCTATAGAAGTCTATGGAGTTCATCTCCTGGCCAGACGTTGGAGGTAGAGGAGCCCTATAGAAGTCTATGGGTCTGAGCTCCTGACCAGGTGGTGGAGGTAGAGGAGCCCTGGAAAAGTCTATGGGGTTCATCTCCTACCCAGGAGATGGAGGTAGAGGAGGCCTGAAGAAGTGTATGAGGCTGAGCTCCTAGCTCGGAGATGGAGGTAGAGGAGGCCTGTAGAAGTGTATGAGGCTGAGCTCCTAGCTTGGAGGTAGAGGAGGCCTGAAGAAGTGTATGAGGCTGAGCTCCTAGCTCGGAGATGGAGGTAGAGGAGGCCTGTAGAAGTGTATGAGGCTGAGCTCCTAGCTCGGAGATAGAGGTAGAGGAGGCCTGTAGAAGTCTAAAGAGGGAGTAATTCCCATTTATCTCACCTATTATGCCTCTTATCTTTCTCTCATCTATCATCTCTCTCATCTATCATCTCTCTCATCTGTCATCTCTCTCTTCTCTCTCTCATCTTTCTCTCATCTATCATCTCTCTCATCTGTCATCTCTCTCTTCTCTCTCTCATCTTTCTCTCATCTATCATCTCTCTCATCTTTCTCTCTCATCTATCATCTCTCTATTCTCTCTCTCATCTTTCTCTCATCTATCATCTCTCTCTTCTCTCGCTCATCTTTCTCTCATCTATCATCTCTCTCTTCTATCATCTCTCTCTCATCTATCATCTCTCTCTCTCTCTCTCATCTTTCTCTCATTTATCTTCTCTCTCTCTCTCTCTTATCATCTCTCTCTCATCTATCATCTCTCCTATCTCTTCTCTCTCTCTCTCTCTTATCTATCATCTCTCTCTCTCATCTATCATCTCTCTCTCTCATCTATCATCTCTCTCTCTCTCATCTATCATCTCTCTCTCTCATCTTTCTCTCTCATCTATCATCTCTCTCTTCTCTCTCTCATCTATCATCTCTCTCTCTCCCTCTCTCATCTCTCATCTATCATCTCTCTCTCTCTCATCTATCATCTCTCTCTTCTCTCTCTCATCTTTCTCTCATCTATCATCTCTCTCATCTTTCTCTCTCATCTATCATCTCTCTATTCTCTCTCTCATCTTTCTCTCATCTATCATCTCTCTCTTCTCTCGCTCATCTTTCTCTCATCTATCATCTCTCTCTTCTCTCATCTTTCTCTCATCTATCATCTCTCTCTTCTCTCATCTTTCTCTCATCTCTCATCTCTCTCTTCTCTCTCATCTTTCTCTCATCTCTCATCTCTCTCTTCTCTCTCATCTTTCTCTCATCTATCATCTCTCTCTCTCTCTCTCTCTAATATTTATCTCTCTCTCCCTCTAATATTTATCTCTCTCTCTCTCTCTCTCATCTTTCTCTAATCTTTCTCTCTCTCTCTCTTTTATCATCTCTCTCTCATCTATCATCTCTCCTCTCTCTCATCTTTCTCTCATCTATCTTCTCTCTCTCTCTCTCTCTCATCTTTCTCTCATCTATCATCTATCATCTCTCTCTCTCTCTCTCTCTCATCTTTCTCTCATCTATTATCTCTCTCTCATCTTTCTTTCATCTATCATCTCTCCTCTCTCTCTCTTTTCTCTCTCTCTCTCTCGGCACATCCAAGGAAGAGACGGGACACACGGATGATACATAAAATACATACATGTTTTTGTTTTTTTTTTACGTCTGAGCCATGACATCCAGAGAGCACACTGACACGTCTTCAGAAGGACAAGAAAACCAGTATCTATGTAAGTGAAATATATATTTATATATCATCATTGTACATATATATTATTACTTTATACATACAGTTTATACAAGAGTGGTTCACCCCCCCCTCCCCCCCTGGGAAGGTCTGTCGGTGGCGGGACCGCGCACTTTGACCCTATACAGCAAATGCACCCAGGGGACGGACCATCTTCAGCTGCAGACACCACAGGATTTCACACCGACGACATGTCTCTTCACCAAACTGACTTTCTATGGAAACATTCTCATACATTTTATATTCCATCCAATGTATATTTGTATTCTGCACCCGCAGCAGCTTGGAAAGGTTCTCTACTCCGGCGGTCGCCAACCTCTCGGACCTCATGGACCACTAAATTCATCACTTTAAATCCAGCGGGCCACTAATATGAATTTTTTAAATATATACATATATATTCTCATATTTGTTTGTTTCCTCATATGTAAATATATTCTCATATGTGTGTGTGTGTGTGCAGTGGCGTAACAATCACCATAGCGACCCAGGCGTCCGCTATGGGGCCCGGGGCACAGTGGGGCCCGGCCAGATGCCGTGCGGGCCGCCTGGGTCGCTATGGGATCCTCTGCTGCTGGCTTTCACTGGCGTCTGAAGACGAACACGCCGCTGTTCAGATCATCTGTGCAGCGGCGCGTTCGTCTCCACAGTCAATGAGAGCCAGCAGCAGCGGGGGAGCAGGCTGGACCCGGTGTTCTATCAACGTCGCGAGCCTCTGACGTCACCGGCAGTGGAGGAGGAGGCGGGCCCGTGCTCGGCAGCAGGGGAGGAGGCGGCCTCGGTGACGAAGAAGGAGGCGGGCCCGGCGACGGAGGAGGTAAGGAGTGCGACCAGCCCACCTGAGGGTGATCCTGCAGAGCCCACCATAGAGAGTCTATGGTGGGCTCTGCAGGGTCACCCTCAGGTGGGATCTCGAGTGGGCTCTGCAAGGGGTATAACTAGAAATCACGGGGCCCCATACAAAATTTTGCTATGGGGCCCTGTGATTTCTAGTTACGCCCATGTGTGTGTGTGTATATCTATATATATATATACATATATAGATATACACACACACACGAGAATATATCTATATATACATACAGTATATATACACATACATTGCACACCACACTAATAAATACTGACTGTTTTAAGCACCCCGTCTGTGTTATATGGTAACCATCACTTTTAGATGTGGTGGCCAGTGGCGTCACAAGGGGGGTGTGGGCCGCACACGAGTGACACCATTAGAGAGGTTTAATCCTCCTGTCCCATTGCACTCCTGACCAGACAAAAATCCAACTGGGTGGGTGCGGTGGTGACAACGGATGCCTCCGTGAAATGTAGATAGGTGAAAGTAGTCACTCGCACTCCATGATATTGCCTGAGGACGGGGCGGCATGGTCTCGAAACGTCACCAAGGAGATATGTGTCATCTCAGTCAATAAACAGCATCGACTTTAATATCATGGACCATTAGAGGGGTGACACCAAAATAACAGTCAATTTTAGTGTCACCCCCCCTCTGAAAAGTCGGGCACTCGGTTGCGGACCGAGAGCCCGACAGTTGCAGGAGAGAGGAGGGGACCTGACGGGTCCTTATCCCGCCGGGTGAACGTCCCCTCCTCTCTCCCCTCCTCCCATCACCAACATGGCCACCGGCAGGTATCACAAAGATGGCAGCGCATGCGCGATGACATCATTGCGCACTCGCTTGATGACCTAATGGCGCTTGGTGATGTCATGCGGCGGGGTGTCACCCAGCCTCGGGGCGCCCCTGGTGGTGGCTGCATTCAGTTTATTTTTTCAGGCTTTTTTTTTTTTCCTTTTTCTTTTTAACTTGGAAACCTGCGAATAAGACACTTCCTGTCCTAGGGTGACAACGCTCACTCCTCGACTCTATCTATGGAGGGAGCCACACAAACTGGACTTTGAATGCGTCTGCCTTTTGTACATCTCCATTACACAGGGGGCGGGGATAGCAGGAGCGTGCAGAAGGAAGATAACATTGCTTTATGCTTCCAGTGCTAGGAAGTGACAAGGAGGCAGCATTGATGGCGGGTTCTTTCTGTACTTGCTGCAAATGTTCTCAGCCCTGAAAAACGATGGCAGCCGCCACATCTGAGGTCCCATAGGCTGCAATATACGACTGGGTTTAGATATCCTTTAAAGAGGAACTAAACCACCAGACCAGCTGGCATGGAGGCGGCTACCCGGGCAACCAGGAAGCCAGGCGGTGGGTGACGACATGCCGCCCGGCTGCCTGATCGCTCGGGGAAGCTGGCTTCATGTTGTTTGGCTGGCTTAAGTG